CCCGCTGACGAGCAGCGTACCACTCACGAAGCTGCTGAGGGGAAGGGGTCTCACGGGTACGCTGCTGCTGCTGCTGCTGGCGCGCACCACCACCGGAGCCACCCCTCTGCGCAGCGCCACCCCGACCAGCTCCGCCGCCTCCGCCGCTACCTCCTCCACTACCGCCACCTCCGCCACCTCCGCCACCTCCGCTCCCACCGCCACCGCCGCCTCCACCTCCACCTCCAGTCCCGCCACCGACGCCCCCACCCCCGCCACCACCCCCACCGCCACCCCCACCCCCTCCACCACCTCCACCTCCGCCTCCACCGCCCCCGCCAGCTCCTCCAGCACCCTTGCCCCCCTTGCCCTTGCCAGGGCGGCGTCTCCCGCTAGGGGCAGACGCCGCAGCGACCGACTCAAGACCAACGAGGTCGGCCGCAGCAGCAGAGGCAACAGAGGGCAAGAGGGGAGAGGGGGAGCACCCCTCAAAGACAGGGGTACGAGGGTCACCACGAGAGGCACCTACTGCGACTATGCTCTTCTCTGCCGCGAGCAGGCGCTCCTCGAGGAGGTCAACGGTGAGGGTGGTGGGGCAAACAGAGAGGAAGTGGTCCCTAACCGGGCGAAGGGTGTCAGGGAGCCGGGTGACTATGTAGTAGAGGGTGATGTACATGGGGGGGGGGTTCTTGGCGCAGAACTCAGCAGGAAGCGCAGCGCGGTAGCGAGTGTCACTAGTGCGAAGGTGCGTAATGAGGTCAGCGACAGTGGGAAAAGCGGCGAGGTCAGGGAAGAGGTACGGTAGGATGAGGCGGCTAAGCGCAGCAGTGGCAGGGGAAGAGTAGCGTGCAACTACAGCGTCGTACAAGGTCTTAGCACTCTTGTACTGGCTAAAGTGCGCACGCTCAGTGGTCGGCAAGTGGCGGCGCACAGCAAGGCGGGCAGCAGCATCGCGTGTGGCCCACTGGGAGCGAACAGTGGGGTCAGCATCAGCAGCAGGGGCAGGAGAGGCACCAGAGGTGAGGTCAAAAAGGGAGAGGCCGTCTGCTCTGTCGCTCAGTAGGAAAAGCTGCAGGTCATCTACCCAGACGTCAAAGTCAATGGCCCGACCCTCAGCGTCAAAGGTGAGGACACTGGGGGAAGCCATGACAGCAGTAGACTAGCAGTGAGAGCAGCAGGCTAGGGCAGAGCAGTGGTGGAGGCGCTGCTCTTACCGGGCAGGCGAGAAGGGCCGAGGCGCGCCGGCAGGAAGAGGGCCGGGACGCCAGGAACGGCGGCTCGGCGGCTCAGCGGCTCGGCAGCTCGGCGGCTCGGCGGCTCGGCGGCTCGGCGGCTCGGCGGCTCGGCGGCTCGGCGGCTCGGCGGCTCGGCGGCGTCTCGGCGGCTCGGCGGCTCGGCGGCTCGGCGGCGGCGGCGTCTCGGCGGCTCGGCTGCTCGGCGGGGCCGCGAAGGTATGGCGATGGGGGGCCGCAAATGGCGGCGGTGGGGTCGCACGGGTGGGGCGACGGGGGGGGTCGCGGGCGGCTGCGACTACAGGGGTCTCGCGCGGCGGCGGCGACGGGAGGACAGGCGGCCGCTGCGACGAGGTCGCAGGCGGCCGCGACTGCAGGGTCGCGAGTGGCGGCGACAGCAGGGTCGCGGGCGGCTGCGACAGCAGGGTCGCGGGCGGCGGCGATGGCAGGGTCGCGGGCGGCTGCGGCGACTGGGTCGCGGGCGGCTGCAGCTGTAGGGTCGCGGGCGGCCGCGGCGACGAGGTCGCGGGCGGCGCGAAGGGCGACGGGGTCGCGACGGGCGGCGTCGGGGTCGCGGGCGGCTGTAACGACGCCGCGCAGGGCGACGCGAGGGTGGGGCCGCGGGGTCGCGAGGGTAGGGCCGCGGGGCCAGCAGAGGCGGCACCGGGGCCTAAAGGGCGGCGCGACGGGGCCGCTAAGAGAAGCGAAGGAAAAGGGGGGGGGGGGGGGGGGCGACTCGGGCAGGGGCCGAGCGCGCTCCGGGCAGGAAAAAAATGGTACGGTGGGCCCTAGGAACAGTTCCCACGAGGGAACCTGCTCTATACCATGTGAAACTTAGAACGAGAATGGTGATCACTAACAGGAATGAGGGTACAAATATGAAACCCTAGAGTTCTGTACCCTCTAAGGCTAAACCCACTGTAGCCTACAAAGCTACAACATGCATAATGTTTGACAAGTGCGCCATCCCCTGCTCCTCCTTCTCCTCCGTCTCTTACTGCTGCAGCTGCCGCTCAGGGGGGTGGATGTGTTGGAGCCGTCAGGAGGGGGGTTGTTAGAATCCCAGTCACTAACCACTGGGATAAAAGGGCTTGTTTGTGTAGCGGGTGAGTGCGCCCATAACTCCCCAGGCCAATGTGCCTGTAACCCTTCCCTAGGATCAATCGGGGATCACCAGTGGACCTCTGACACCCCCCCGCACTGGGATGCCCGAGGTGCACACACCGGGATTCGAACCTGAGACCTTCGCTCTGATACCATGTTAGAATCCCAGCCACTAACCACTGGGATAAAAGGGCTTGTTTGTGTAGCGGGTGAGTGCGCCCATAACCCCCCAGGCCAATGTGCCTGTAACCCTTCCCTAGGATCAATCGGGGATCACCAGTGGACCTCTGACAGGGGTGGCGTGTGAGCGTTGCTAGTGGTTCAACAGAAGGTGTGTAATAGGGGCGTGGGACAGTGTGGGCAGATTGAGTGGAGGTAGTCGTCGTGACATCAGCAGCGCCTGTAGTCCGGAGCCGTCGTGCTCTCGGTAGCCCAGCGAGCCTGCTTCGCCAGTCGCCTGTGGGTCCGTTGCTCCTGTGTGTGCTCGTCGTAGCCGCGGAGCCAGATACTCCCGTAGTCCGGTGCCCTCGTGCGCTCGGTAGCCACTGTGCGCGCCGCTCCTGTTGCCCGTGTGTCTGCAGCTTCAATCGGCGCCTTCGATCTTCTCGCCCTCATAGTCTCTCCTCCTCTTCATTTGCCCTCTGTTATAGCCTCTAGCTTTGCTTATAATTGTGAACTATTGCTCTGCCTGTTAATTGTGCTGATTACACCCCACTTTGGCTATGGGGGTGTGTCAGAATGTTATGTTTGTCTAGCCTGCAGTGGGGTACTCTATAGCGAGTACAGCCCTTCTAGGGTTTGCTATATGTATCCCTATGCTTGTTAGTGAAAACCCTTCTTGCCTGTTTCTTATTCCTGGTTAGTCGTTCGACAAAACATTGTCCCCTTTTAATGGATAAGTGTAAGTTGAGTCCCCATCATACTTACAGAAAATAACACTGATTTTCGATTATGTATGGGTGACCACTTTGCATACGTGTCAATGGGATTTCCCTAAATTCGTCGCAATCACCAGAAACAACCACACATCCAACCATTACGCGTGGTCATTAAAATGTTCCATGCCCTAAGAAGGACAACGTTGGTTAGCAATGCGGATTGGTCTAGGTAGTTGTACCATTGTTGCTTTGTAGTGTACTCATAAATTCTGGAAAGAACTAGAAATCATCCCACATTTTCCGTTACCTTTCAAAAGCACACGACTTGGGTACGTTCCTGGCTAGTGTCAAGCTTCCGGTCATCCGCGGATGACCGGAAGTTGGACCCACTTTGGGCCATCCGAGACCAACTTCGGGTCTTCCGGCCAAAAATTGCCCCTGTTTCCGGAAGACATGAAGTTTGATAGGAAGTTTGACCCAAAGCTTCGGGCCTTCCCGGAAAGGCCAGAAGCTTGACACGGGCCAGGAACGTACCCTTTGCCAGGTTTGTCAGTTCTTCTTGACCGAACCTCGATATTGGAATGGCTTCCCGCCCTTCGAAAAAAAATCAAAACACTATCTCTTGTGAGCTTCTGAGCCAATCCATGAGCGCCATCCAAGGGGCCAACCAGCCCTATCACACTCACACTCACTCAAGATCAGAAGTAACTAGGAACAGATGATCTGGACCGTTGGCAGTGCTGACGTTAGTCAACTGACACTCGTTTCAGCTCGGCACGGCACCCGTGGTTGGTCTGGGAAGGAAATCGAGGCATCCGAATTGGTCGCGAAGGGCTGTCAGGGCGCATTTCAGGCCTCGTAACAAGTGACTTCCGAACAAGTTGGTCGTCGCACGCGACCATACTTGTTATGAGGCAGTTTTTACCTCCTCCGAACAAACAAGTCTGATCATTGACAACGTGGGTCGCACATGTACACCGCTAGGTCGCAGCCAGTGAAATGGCGCGACGCTTCACTGTCTCCGAAGTCCTAACAGGTCCAGAAACTGACGGCGCTTTACGAGCCATGGTTTTGTTGGTGCTGCCCAAAACGATTATAGGTGAAATGTTCCATTCCCCGCATGCTCAATTGCAAACATCATCACAAACAGGCCAGCTTCTCTTGCTTTGAAAGTGCTTTAGACACTCACGTTGTGACCAATTTGACTTCAAACAGGACGTCTATATTATTTCACCGGTTTGAGTGTGACGAAAACCAGTCACCTGCTGTCAGGTAGACGGTGCACGACCGGGGAATCATTATCGTCAACGTTCGCATTCGGCCAGCCGTTAGCAAGAAGTTGTTACGAGGTTTTGGTCGCCACAAATCGCTCTAAGTAGCAGAAAACCGTTGAGCAGTCGCCTGTTACGAAGTGGCTTGTTTAACCGCCTGAAATGCGCCCTCAGGGCGTGGACAACGTTTGTTCCAGCGCTGCTCAAGATTCGAACGTTCAGAAATACCGCACTGTACCATGTAGAAACGTTTTGTAAAAACATATCAGCCGTTTTGAACCCATGTTTTTTTTCCGGGAAGCCATCTTGAACAATTGTGGGCCACGCCCTCATTGATGATTCAAGGGCGGGCGAGTGTGAAGGGACCCGTTGCTCCTGCTGAGTCGTGGTGAAGTGATTCCTCGTCGTAACATATATCGTGCATTTGGTTTCATTATGCACTAAGTTGCTTACTAGTAACGTCCAGCCAAGCAATTACCGCGGTTTATTTGTAATACTTCCTGTCTCCCGCCTTCCTTCGCGTCGTTCTTTCTGCTATGGCATCCGCTGCTGCTTCTTCGATCTCTAACTGCGCCGTCTCTTCCGCCGCGTGCGGCGAAGAGCAACGTCGCGCCGTGAGAACCTTCTTCACCACCTCCGATCCCTTTTATTTTTGAAAGCATCGGAAACATGGTTCTGTCAATGTCTCGCCTTGCATTCCGCCTTCTCCGGCTCTCTTGCCGCCGTCCCCTTCGCCGCGGGTCCATGGTCTCATTCTCGCCTACGTCACTCTCTTGCAGCGAAAACACTGGTCTCGTAACAGCTTACCGCCATTGCGTGCACATCGTATCCTTTTCATAATGTCAGCTGCTCGTAGCAGCATTGCCACAACCGCATTCTAAGATGCCATGCGTATTTACTCGAGCGTGCTTCCACTTTATCCGTCTTTCTCTCCATCGTGCTACGAGCGCCTCCAGTCGTCCTCTCCCCCATTCCCAAGGCCCTCCGCTTGTTCCTCATTTTTCCACCGCCACTCACACTCCCCTTTCTTCTCTCTCCCTCCCCCACTCTTCCCCGTTCTCCACCCTCCATCCCTCCCCCTTTTCGTCCCCTCCTCGCCCCTTTCTTCCCCCCTTACCCCCGCTGCCCCCGCAGCTCCGCGCGTCGCCCCGCGCTTCCCTGCGCCTCTCCGCGCCACTCCGCGCGACTCCCCTCCCCTGCGCGCCTTCCAAATGCCGCCCGCTCCGCGCGCCGCTTCCGTCGCGGCGACCGGCAGTGCGCGCCGCTGCAGCCGCTGCGGCTCCGGCGGCGGTGGCGGATGGTGGGCTGCTGACGCGCGTAGCCGTTGCGACGTATTCGGCGCTCGTGCCGGCCGGGACGGCCGCTAGCATGGGTCTCACGGAGCTTACGGTGAGGCGCGGAGGCATGGGGGAGGAAGGGATGGGGGGGAAATGGGGAATGGGTTTGCAGGAGAGAATGGGAATGTGGGGAAGACGGGGAATGGGGGAGCACGGAGAATGTGGGGACGATGAGAATGGGTGGTCGACGGCGAAGGACGATGAGGGATGATGAGGGAGGGCACGGTTTCCGAGAAGAACGGAATGGGGAGGAGATGGATACACCATGCAAGACATGCCTTCCCTTTTTGCCATCTCTTTTGTATGTATCAGTGTGTACCTCTGTGCGTGCGCGAGTGTGCGTGCCTGCTCATGCGTGTTTGTGCCCTGCGTGTGTGCGCCTGTGTGAATGCGTGTGCGTGTGTGTGTCTGCGTGCACATGCGTGTGCATGGGTGCATGTATGCGCATGCATGTGTGCATTGCATGCGTACGTGCCTGTGTGCATGCATATGCATGCCTGCACACCCCCCATAGGTGGTGCTGGCCCTCAGAGAGACCATCCTCGCGCTCGCCACTGCCGCCATCTTCTTCAATGCGGCCAAGATCTGCCGCCTCGTCAACTAGTAAGCACATATGCTCACTGCGCCATGTCTCCCATGTAACGCCTGTGGGCTGAGTGTTAATGGGCATTCCGCTGCGCCAAATAACACCCTCGTTTTGACCCAGTGGGTAGCGAGGTGTTATACTGGTTTCAGAGCCTAGGGTTCAAATTTTGGCTGGTCCCACATTTTCCGCTTGCGGTGAGAACTTGAATGTGGTAACCGGATCGAACCCAGTGAACAATCCTCCGCTGGCCTGGTCCACCAGCGAAGTCGCTGCTGCCTCATCAGAGAATAGGTCCCTGCGGGGGCCGACTCCCTGAAGTTCGTCAACGAGGACGTTGACACCAGGGGGGGACGAGTGTAACGCCTGTGGGCTGAGTGTTAATGGGCATTCCGCTGCGCCAAATAACACCCTCGTTTTGACCCAGTGGGTAGCGAGGTGTTATATCCCACCTCGCACCATGTCTCCCACCTCGCACCATGTCTCCCACCTCGCACCATTATCAATGCTGTCCAATCCTCGATGCCCCATGCACAATGCCCCATACCCACTGCTTCATGCCATGCTACCCAATGCATCATGCCAGATTTCCGGTGGTTCCACATCCCCCATTCCCCCATGGCAGCGTGTGGGGCACGCTGATCATGCGGGAAGATGAGGTGACGGAGGAGGAGGGCTGCATGTTTGGTGCGCTCACCCACACCACCCCGACTCACCTCGCCCCACAACGTAGCATGTTGGTGTGCTCACCCACCCTCTCTCCCCCCGCACCCCCTCCCCCATTCCCCATTCCCCCATGGCAGCGTGTGGGGAACGCTGATCATGCGTGACGACGAGGTGACGGAGGAGGAGTTTCAGGACAGCATGTTCGGTGCGCTCGTGGGGCCGCTGCAGTTCGTGCTCATCGCCTTCTTCCTCACGCACCAGTGAGTCCGTCAGGCGTTTCATCGCCTTACCCCTGCACTTCAGCGCCTTACCCCTGCACTTCAGCGCCTTACCCCTGCACTTCATCGCCTTGCCCCCATCGCCCTGCGCCCTCACCCTGCCACTCTCCTTATCAATCATACCATCCCTTGTTATGTCTGCTTGCAGCCTGCGCGTGCTGGTGCCGCTGCTGAAGCTGCCCGTGACAGCAGCAATGGTGGCGAAGGCACGGTTGGTGGCATGGGTGGCGGCTGCTACGTGGTTCGCGACGGGGTGGAAGGACCGAGTCTTGAAGCTCGTGGCTGCTGCTCACCCCGAGGATAAGGTGAGGGGGGGGAGGCTGCTCACCCCGAGGATAAGGTGAGGGGGGGGAGGCTTGGGGAAAGGTGGGAGTTATGGGCGAGGGAAAGGTGGGAGTTATGGGCGAGGGTAAGGTGGGAGTTATGGGCGAGGGTAAGGTGGGAGTTATGGGCGAGGGTAAGGTGGGAGTTATGGGCGAGGGTAAGGTGGGAGTTATGGGCGAGGGACACGCAAGTCAAACAAACTAGATCCCCGTGCCACGTGCTCATGCCATGTGCTCGTACAAAAAGGCGCGTACCGAATGGGCCCATTGTGTGCTGGTGAGGTTGAGAGTTGCTGATGTTGCTGCTGAGAGTGGACCAACCAGTGCCCCCCCTTTCTCCCACGCTCCGTCATCCCCCCCACGCCTCTCCCTCTCCCACCCCACCATCACGTCCCCTCCTTCCACACCCCCCCCCTCTCCCGTTTTCAGCCCGTGCTGGCGAATGTGAGCAAGCTGCTGACGCTGCTGCTGCGGGTGGCAGCGGTGGGCACGCTGGCAGAGATGATGGGCGTCAGCCTCAAGTCGCTGATCGCTGTGGGAGGAATTTCAGGTGGGTTGAGTTCAGGCAGCCACCACGCACACATAGGGGCAACTCGGGTGGGCCTTGAGGTAATGTCAGGCAGTGAGCATGCTGGCAGAGAAAATGGGATTCAGCTTCCAGTCGCTCGTCCTGTTGCCTTCAAGGATATCATGTGACCAATTTCTTTGCGGGTTCATCCTCTTCCCCAAGACACTTTCATCACTCTCTTTCCCTCTATTCCCTGCCCTTCCCCCTACCCTCTCCCACCCCCCCAGGTGTGGCGATCGGGTTCGCCTCCAAGGAGATAGTGACCAACTTCTTTGGCGGGCTCATCCTGTTCCTGACGCAGCCGTTTGTGTTGGGCGACAAGATCAAGGCGGGCAGCGTCACGGGCCGCGTGCGCGAGATCGGCTTCCTGCAGACCAAGCTGGAGGCCGACGACAACTCGCCCATCGTCGTGCCCAACTACATCTTCAACACCGCTGTCAGTCCACTCGCACTGCTCTCTCCTCCCACCTCAGTCCTACTGCCATCCCTCTTGCTCTCTCTACATCTTCAACACCGCCGTCAGTTCTCCTCACTGCTCTCTCACCCCACCTCTCACTGCTCTCCCCTTACTGCCATCCCTTTCGCTCACTCTGTCCTCCCTGCTCTCCCTGCCCTCCCTGCTCTCCCTGCCCTCCCTGCTCTCCCTGCACTCCCTCCCTTCGTCCTTCACCACCCTTACGCCCTTCACTGCTACCCCAACAGCAATTCTGCCCACACCTATACAACCCCCTTTCCACCCCTCTGTCTCCCCTCCCCCCACACCAGATTGTGACCAACTACACGCGCGCGGGCTGTCTCGCCCTGGAGGCCACGTTTGTGCTGCGCAACGAGGACATCATTCGCATCCGCCCCATCACCGAGAAGCTCACCGCCTACCTGCGCGCACACCCACTCGTGGACGTCAGCAAGGGCCCCACGCTGGGCTACCTCAAGAAGCTGTCGGGCACGGGGCTGGAGGTCGGCGTCATTTGCTACGTGCAGGACATGGTGCGTGCTGCGCAGCAAGGGGGGCAGGAGCAGGAGTAAGAGAGTGGTGGGGAGGACATGGTGCGTGCACTGCACTGTTGTATGCTGTGCGCTGCAGTGTATGCTGTGCGCTGCAGTGTATGCTGTGCGCTGCAGTGTATGCTGTGCGCTGCAGTGTATGCTGTGCGCTGCAGTGTATGCTGTGCGCTGCAGTGTATGCTGTGGTGCCCAGGCTTGGCCCTCCTGTTCCAGCCCTTGCCTTGCAGGATTGGGTACAACTGTACAACTTCTCTCCAATACTCTCCAACCCTCTCCATCCCTCCCCCACCCCGCTCTCCACTGCTCTTCTCCCCCACATGGTGTGTGCAGGAGGACGATGAGTACCTGGCGGTGCAGCAGGAGATTCTGGAGCAGAGTGTGGAGATCATAGTGGAGGAGGGCGCCTACCTCGGGGAGAGTGCACCCTTTGAGCCCTCCGTCTCCCTCGCCGCCTAGCCGCCCCTTCGCCAGGTCTGTGTGTGTGTGAGTGTGTGAGTATCTCTCTGAGACACCTACCTCGGGGAGAGCGCGTCCTTTGAGCCCTCCATCTCCCTCGTCTCTGCCTAGCCGCCCCTTCATCCGGTCTGTGTGTGTCCCTTACAAGTTGGTTCTTTTGAAATCCTCACAAATCGCCTGCAACAACCAGGATGGTGTGTGTGCCTCTCTCTTTCCTTGTTGCTGAGACGCCTCCAAATGAGAACTCGCGCTTTCAGCCCTCCGTTGCCCGCGCCGTTGATGCCTAGCCGCCACCTTGCCACCCTGCCACCTTGCCACCTCCAAATAGCCCCCGTTCCCCTTCTTCACTCCGCCCTTTCCTCACTCCATGCCCGTTCTGCCGTCTTTTGTGGACTCCCAATCTCCTCTAAACCCTCTCCTGAGTTTTTCCCACCAGCATCCCACTTCCACCACCATCCCACTTCCACCACCGCCTCTGCTATGCAGAAAACGAAGCCTCTTGGGGCAGCAAGAGGGTCCAAGACTTGCTGAGTTTCGCAACAAGGGGGCTTGTCCCAGTCACCCTCCACCACTGCTTCTCCCACCGCCCAACCACTCCCACCACCACCTCCGCCACTTCTCAACCATTCCGCAACTTCTCAACCATTCCGCAACTTAACCATTCCGCAGCCAACAGTAGCTACAGTCAAACGCGGAGGAGTCCGGCAACAAGAGAGAAACTCCAAAAACCCAATGTGGGATGTTTGGGCTGTTCCGCTTAGTTTATCAAACGTTAAGAGACGTACATGCAAGTTAGTTGCTGTACACTAGCTAGATTTGTTTGTACGTGAGCCCATGAAATTAACATGGAGCAACATAACTTTGAGTCCTGATTGAAAACGTGTGCAGGGTGTGATCTTTCCATCTGCTCAAAGCCCCCCCCCTGGGTCATGCTTGCCTGGCAGATGGCAGGGATGGGAGCAAAGGGGAAGTTGAATTACTGTATAGTGCCGGCTGTATGACCCAGAGGACTCTCTACAAATGCATATAAAAATGCTTGCGGCAGCAAATATTTAAGACCTGGGGTACACTTATTTATCAACTATCAATCTGTTATTTAGGGTGTACAACTCAATTTGGGGCAAGGGGGGGGGGGGGGGGGGGGGGGGGGGGGGGGGGGGGGGGGGGTGGGTATATTCGTAACGAATTCGCACGAATTTCGCGCATGCGGTGCGTCAGATCTGTGTTTGAATTCGAGTCTGACACAAATCGGCCATTATCTCCGATACTCAAATTATGCCCGGAGCGTTTTTCGTTCGTACTCAACCGACAATTTCTCGTTATATTGCTCACATATACTGTTTCCATTTTTTTTAGGCACAAAACTGAAACAAAGTTGCCACTAACACCTCACCTGCACATACCCCTGCAAACAAAACAAGATATAAAATGAAACACTTAGATAACCTGAATACACTTTGGGAAAATCAAACATAAATACAGGAAGCTACCAAATATTTAAGGTTGATGCCTTCGCTTTTGCCTGCAGTTTTTTAATGAGTGTTAATATACTTATTGTTCTTTACGGAATTTAAGCTCCGATCCAAGGGCGCGTAGATATGGATTGAAAGATTTCATCTCAAATTTAAAACTGTTGAAGTCTTGGCTGGATTTAGGATTCCGTGATTGGTTGGCGAACTACAAAATCTATGACGAGCTGGGGTAACTTTTTTGCTTCACCAATCACGGGCGAGCAAACCAGCCAAGTGTTAAACGTCAGGGTATAAGTGTAGAACGTTTGTAAATATGAGTCGCGAGTTTTAAGTTCACATCGAAAGCTCGATACATTTTTTCGTAATTTAATGTGGTAACTGCGTTCAGTAACCGCGTTCTGTTTCTATCACATTTCAACAGTATTATTAGCGTAGAAAGTGTGATTAAAGAGCGAGAGCCAATCGGCGATGAGGAATACAGGTTGAGTATGAACGAAAAACGCTCCGGGCATAATTTGAGTATCGGAGATAATGGCCGGACACAAATGAAGAGTAAGAATTTGAGTCTGACACAAAAAATTGTGTCAGAATTCGAATTTGTGCTAATACAAGCTGACGCACAATATGAAAATTTTCGAAATATATTTCAAATTTTAAAGATTGTGACAAGACTTGTAAAGGAGCATGCAGTAAGGAGTCAAGTGCTCCTTATCTTGTGGCAGGTCCACGGACCTGCCACCTAGTCCATTTCATTCATAGATCTGAATCTACAAGCACACACATGGAAACTATCAACCTCCTCGCCATTGCCGCCTCTATGTTATCTTGCTCCTAACGCCACCGTACGTGACGAAATCGCCACTTATGCCTTTTAAAAGTGACACCATCTTCGTCGGATGTTGCTGCGGTGTTTCAGAATAGCTAGGCAAGAATGAATGAACTAGCAGAAGTTTGGGTACAAATATGAAACCCTAGTTGGGGTTGTACCCCATATTGGCTACCCCACTACAACCTACAAGCATAATACAGTTTAACACACCCCCATAGGCAAAGTGGGGGAGAACAAAGGGTCACAAGACCAGTCCAGCAAAGCAAAGCAAAGCCCAGGGTGGATCACAACGTCACCACACTCCGAGCACAAGTAAAGGCCACAAGGCCAGTTCACATGCAGTGCTAGATATAGTACAAGACAAGCAACACAGTGATCAAACCTAGCAAGCAAGCAACAAGATATATATAAAGTACAGTACAAAGAATGTCAAGCAGTGAGCAAGTGAGGAAACGTGGACACAAGGCCTAAAGAAGTACAGTGCCGCTGATGATCACTAGGCGGGAGCGCCTTGGTGAAAATATCAGCAGTGTTGGCCTTCGAGTCCACGTACACAAGCCGAAGCTGACCGCGCTGCTGAAGCTCTCGAGCAAGAAAGTAGCGAAGAGCAATGTGCTTCGTCCTGTGCTCCAGTCTGTGCTCCTGACACAAGGCAAGAGCCGCCTTGTTGTCACCGTACAGAACTGGAGGAGAACTAGGCCGCTCTCCCAAGTCAGTCAGCAGGTAGGTGAGCCAGCGTAACTCCTGTGCAGCCATGGCTGTGGCGTAGATCTCAGCCTCACAACTAGAGCCGAGAACAGAGGAAGAGCGGGTGGACCGCCACGAGACAGAACCAGAGCCAAGGCTGAAGGTGTAACCCTGTGACGACCGCTGCGTAGCCAGGTCGTCCACCCAAGAAGCGTCCGAGTGACCAGTGAGGACAACTCTGTCATGTCCTCCAAGCACCAGCCCCATGCCTGATGTACTGCACAGGTAACGCAGCACCCTCTTAGCAGCCTCCCAGTGCTCTCGCCTGTGTCTCCCAGGCGCAACGTAACGAGCAAGGATGCTAAGAGGGTACGCGAGGTCAGGTCGCATGCAAGTCATCAGGTACATGAGGCAGCCTACAAGCTCTGGGTACGGGCCACTCGGCTCTACGGACTCGTTCGAAGGTGGAGCTGAGAGTGAGTGGCTGGTAGCCAGAGGTGTGGCCTGTGGTGAGGAGAACTGGAAGCCGAAGCGCTGAAGGACCTGCTGCACCATGTGTGACTGAGTCAGGGTGATGGTGCGGCGAGCTCTGTCCCGGGTGATCTGCAAGCCAAGGTAGCTACGCAGTTCACCCAGGTCAGTGCAGGTGTGTCTCTTCTGCAGCTCCGACTTCACACGAGCGAGTGCCTCAGTGTCAGCAGTAGCAAAGACCAAGTCGTCGACGTACACGAGAATGTAGAACGGCGGCAGCGACGTGTCTGTGCGCAGAAACAGCGACGGGTCAGCAGTAGACGGCGCGAACCCAAGAGCCGCAAGTGTAGTCCTCAGTGTGTCGTGCCACTCACGTGGCGCCTGGCGGAGACCGTAGACTGGCCGGCGGAGACTCCACTGGGTACCAGGGGGAAACGACCCAGTAAAGCCAGGTGGGCGGCGCAGCCAGATCTCCTCGTGCAGGCTGCCCTGCAGGAACGCTGTGCTGAAGTCAAGAGAGTGAAGCTCGTAGTCACGCTGAGCAGCAACGTGCAGCAGAACCCGAAGAGTGGTCATCTTCGGGGTGGGGGAGAAGGTCTGGAAGAAGTCGACCCCCTGACGCTGACTGAAGCCTCTAGCAACGTAACGAGCCTTGAAGACAGGCGGAGAACCTGGCGGCCGCTTCACCCTGAAAATCCACATGCCATCGACGATGTTCGCCCCAGGAGGGGGAACCTCGTCGACGTAGGTGCCTGTGGACTTCCAGGATGCCATCTCTGCGTCCATGGCTGTCTGCCACTGAGAGGAGTAGGGACCCGAGATCGCCTCTGCGTAAGTGCGCGGAGTGGGGATGTCTAGTGCATCCGGGTCTCCCTCAGGGGCAAGCAACCAGGCCACGAGATGAGGTACAGCAGCCGCAAGAGAGTCAAAGTCCTCCTGCCTATCCTCAAGGACGTCCGTGCCAAGAGCACACTCACCCCCGACGGACGGAGGACAGACAGACGCAGACTCTGACTCAGCAACAAGGCTAGCAGAGTAGTCTAGACGACAGGCAGCAGCAAAGTCAACCAACTCAGCGACCAGAGCAGACGCAGCCGAGGACTCAAAGGTAGGGTCAGTGACAACAGTAGCGAGGAGACGCGTGACTGTAGGGTGCTCAGCGCGATACCGGTCAGACTCAGGGTCCGGAACGGCAGGCAAAGAGGACGCAGGAGGAGACGGTAGAGGGACACGCCGAGGAGCAGTAGAGGGACGCAGAGTCATGTAGTGAGTGCCTGGGACAGGAGGAGGACGCTCACGACGGACACGACTACCAGTGCGAGCAGGACGAACAGGCGACACAGGACGAGACTCAGGCTCACGACGCTCTGTAAGACCTCCTGTGGGACCAGTGTAAGGAGAGGGAGCAGGGAGAGGCGAGGCAGGCAGTAACTGTGACTGCGGCTGGACAGGCGGAGGACACTCTACGGAGGGAGGAGGACAAGGAGGAGGAGCCTGCCCAAGAACCTGCTGAAGGAGCGGTACGAAGTACGGTCGCGGCC